GGGAAGTTTCTTGAGAAAATGGCATGTATACAACTGAATAACTATCTAGCTCAAAACAGTCTATATGGCAAGTTTCAATCAGCTTATAGAGAAGGACATAGCACAGAAACAGCTCTCCTAAGGGTTCATAATGACATCATGCTTTCTTTAGACAAACAAAAAGATGTTATTTTAGTCCTTTTAGATCTGTCTGCTGCATTCGACACCATTGACCACAACATACTTCTGCACAGACTACAGTACCGATTTGGAGTAAAAGATTTAGCACTTAATTGGTTAACCTCATATCTAAAAGATCGAACACAAAAGGTGTCAATTGAGTCGTTGCTATCAGAGCCCACTATTTTAGAGTATGGTGTCCCTCAGGGGTCTGTGCTAGGTCCATTGCTCTTTTCATTGTATATGCTACCAGTAGAAGACATTATAGTTAAACATGGTCTCAACACTGTCATTTTTGCTGATGACACTCAAATTTATGTCACAAGTGAAAGTAATCGCTCCATGGCTATCACCTCAATAGAAACTTGTCTAGTTGAGATCCGAAATTGGATGAAAACAAACATGCTAGCACTAAATGATGGAAAAACTGAACTAATATGGTTTACATCAAGGTCTAAGTCAGACAGGGGAAATGCAATGAAATCTGATATTTGTATCGGTGGTGTCAACATCAATCCATCTAGCTATGTGAAAGATTTAGGTGTCACCTTTGATCAGTATGCAACTATGGATAGACGGATCTCTGAAATTTGCAAATCGGCATCATACTCACTTTGGCGAATTAGTAAGATACGTGACTTACTGGACAAAACTTCAACTGAAAAACTAGTCCATGCTTTCATTACTTCTAAGCTTGATTATTGCAACAGTCTCTTATATGGTTTAGGCAAAAATCATCTGAACAAACTTCAATTAATTCAAAATTCTGCAGCTAGGCTGGTAACTAAAATGGGATGGAATAGCCGAGAGCATATAACACCTGTTTTGATGGAACTTCACTGGCTTCCAGTAAGAGAGAGAATTTTATTTAAAATTTTATGTGTCATTTTTAAAGCAGTCACTGAGAATAAACCACTTTATATCTCAGAACTTATGAAGCAACATCAGCATGGAAGAGTTACCAGGTCTTCAACTTTTAGTCATTTACTTTTAGAACACAG